GCTTGGGGCACGATGGGTTGGCACAGCGGTGGTTGGCCCTCGTGTGGTTTGACGCACAGATTGGGCAGACGGGAATGGTGGCAGTGCAGGCTGGGGCCGGGTGGCCAAACTTCCAGCAGTGCCTGCATTGCATGAATTTGTTCTTGGAGACCGCATTCTGGACGTTGCGGAGCTTGGAGTAGAGGAGGATCTTGGACCCAATATGGGCCACATCGGAGGGGGCAACAATGATGACCACTGAAGTGGTGGCCTTGCGGAGGAGGGGGTCTGGTTGGAGGTAGCGTGCACCAAAGATATCGACATACTTGGCGTTTTTGATAGACTCAGCGAGTGCGGGAAAGAGGTCAGTTTGATCCGGCGGGAGGAAGGCAACAGGGAGGCCGTGGATAACCAACTGGACCTCATTGGGTGCGGGACGGAAGGGCCGGTAGGGATTATTCCCAACAGCGAAGGACTGGTTGATTTTGTTGGCGAGCGCCTCATAGTAGGGGGAGTAGCTAGTGGCAGGCGTGAGGGGATCGGTAGCTAAGAGAGTGATAATGCCACGTGCGTTGACTGTGGCTGAAAAGGAGACGGGAAAGGGACAATTCGCCTCTCGAAGAACGGAGGCAACGATGTCAGGGGCAGTGGCCGCCAGGCGAGTTGCGTCGGGGTGTGAGACCGGGGCGGTTCGAGGGGCGAAGAAGCGACGTTCAGCAGCAGGAAGGGGGGCAGCCTCCCAACCCCAGGAGGGGGCACCACCCGACGCCGCGACTTGGGCTACAGTGGTTGCTTTCTTCTTGCCCTTGGCGCTGGTCTGTTGCACTGTACCCCTAGGAGGGGCTGCAGCGCTGGTGTAGGAGGAGGAGGAGGGTGGGACTAAGGTGAGGAAGGAGGGGGCGGGGCCAGGGCGGAAGGTAGCTTCTTCCGGGAATTCACCCTGTGCGAACTGGAAGGCGGCAAAGGAACGGGGATGTCTGGCCGCGAAGGTGCGTGGGTTACCGTACCACACTCCATCAACTTGCACGGGGGAGTCGATATCTTCAACCGGGATGTCTAGGACGTAGCCGGGAGGGGGGCGGTACTTAGCTCCAGGGGGAGCAGGAGGAGGGGGGGGCAGCGGCGGGCGTCTTGTGTGTTTCGGAGGGGGGGGAGGGGGAGGGCCCAACGGGGCGGCTAATGGGCGGGCAGCTGATGCCGTGACCCTCAGAGAGAGGTCACGGACGGAAGCTTCTAACGCAGGGAGGGAGAGAGGATCCTTGGGAGCAGCCGTGGAGGACTGTTCGAGGGCCTCTAGTCTTTGGATGATGCTGCCAATCCCAGAAAGGGCGGTGCAGACAAGTGGTAGGAGGATGACTTCGCCAGCAGACAGGTGCTGAAGCTGAGCATCGGTAGGGGGGGGAATCGGGGGGGCTGCCTGTCCTATGTGGAGGAGAGTACGGGCTAGTTCATCCCTTATCAGGGTGAGATTATCGGGGAGAGCGGGGGTTGGAGCCCTTGACTCGTAGGGCGAGGCACGACTGGAGGCTCGAGAGCCAGACCTTGAAGGGCCCGGACCAGGCCCCTCCATGGTGGTGAAGGGGGCTGTGGGGGGTAGTGAGGGGGCTGTGCACTTAGAGACTGAAGCCTAAGCGAGGGAGGAATTAGGTGTGTGGAGATGGTTGCCACGCAAAACCCTGGAGTTTTACCTGGCCGAATGCGGTAATGTTTTCAAGCGAGAGGAAAGTAGAGGGCGCGGAGCGTGGACTTAAAGCTAGGGAGGCACCTCGATATTTATATTCCACGTCTGGGTGGTCGCGGCCTACATCCAATCCCTTACTAACTATGTACCTGCCATACTAACGCTTCAGTGTCTTTGAAGTGCGAACTCCGTTTGACCCTGAAAACTAACTTCCCCGCTCTCTTCCTGAGTGGAGTGATCAGCTCCGTCAAAGGACTTATCAATGACTCTTCTATGTGCATAGCTTAGAGTGCATAACGAAGATAACTAACTCGACCAGTGAGTTGTTATTAACCAATCGTAACTAGGTCTTCCGGATGACTCTAGCTTACGCGAGCTGAAGGGATATGCATATTACTTCTGGTAATTGCATATAGACTTGCAGAGGTCGTAGCTCAATAACTAACCGACCAATCTGAACCAACTAAGTCTTATCTTGTAGAGCGGAGCTCCTTCTATGTTATCCAGCGAAAACCCCTCGGTCGCATGCCTCGTATCTCCGCGGAGCGGGCTGCATAGATGCCTTGTCATATCGTGCGCTAATATCTTAGCACTACAAATACTACGGCGGGGCCCGGAGTCGAACATGTGACCTTATGCATTTAGTCACATGCTGCACCGATTACGCTATTATGTGTAACAATAAGTTCTGCAAATAACTTAATATGTAAAAAGAGAATCCAGTTAATCGTATATCTATATTATTATATTATATGTTAGCAATAGAAGAAGTTAATAATTTTGAAATACTAAGAGACTTACCCATTACAGTACAGTGCTAAAACCTTATAATCCACTGGAATAGGCTTGCTTGGAATTCATACTGTATGCTAACTTCATCCTATAAACCATACCATCATTTCATTAACCGCTACATGTGTACCAGGTCGGAGATAGTCTTGACTCTGAAGCCTTAAATGGCTATACAGTGGTTCAAGCTTCCTCCACCACTTGATTTGAGGTTGGGTAACAGAAACAGCACCCTGGATACCAGAACTTAAAGGTTTTTCTGGCATTGCTATATGTATATAGTGTTTAATCTGACAATAGCAACAGAAGCTCATGGTATGCATTCTATTAAGTATTCCATGTTTCTGAGTCCAATACTGACTTCAATTGAATAAAAGCATAACTCCTATCATAATAGTAATACCCTAAAATTTCTGTAGCTTGACAATTGTTGGATGTGACCATCCCGTACCCAGCCCTCATTTACTATCTTGTTTCAGGTCGACATATGAATTGCTAGCTTGTATAATCGGAAGTAAGATTTGATCACTCCAAAAAAAGTAAATATAAAAAAAAAAGTGGTCGGGGTTAGCTCCAGATTTTCTGGAATGAGGGACTTGGACTCTTGTTCAAAAAATGGTAATGGGTTAAAAGCTTCTGGTGGAATAATAAACATACCCACTAAAGACTCAGGGTTATCAGACTCAGCATATTCTTCACCAACTTTTCTCTTCTTTGACGGTCCTTTTAGGTTGTGAGGCTTCTGTGTACGCTTTGCTGACATGGTAGGGTAAGAGTTTTCAAAAGTTCTTGAAGTTGTAGTACCACTATCATAGTTTTTCTCTAAACATATATCTGACATTTGTACTCACATGCACACTAGCTATTTTAAGTTTGGTCCACACACTAATGCATGAGAGAATTTTTGCAAGACCGTCGCAACCATCCAGGGGATAATATCAAACCTAATATTCACCTCCCTCTAGTATGGCCTGGCCCTCCTGCTAGCCAGCTTAAAAAAAAAATTGTTTAAACTTCTTTTTGCAAAAGAATAGTATTAAAATATCATGTAAGCATATACTAGTATCATACGGTTCTAGTTCACAGACTCGATTCTATTTGTTGAAAGAAAAAAATAAAAAATAAAAATCCCCACAGCGAGTACGCTGTTTGACTGTAACGATTAATACTACTAGTCTTTAAAATCTGATATTAATAGAATATTAAGAGAGGAGTGGAGTTCTTGCTCGTTCGTTCCTGCCAGGCTTGGGTCCTCATCCCTTCCGCCTCGTATTCCCTTGCCTTTAAATTCCACCTCATCCTAATTGCTATCATAGACACCGGGTTGAATATCCCAACCCGTTCCTATGCTGACGGTTCTCCGACTCTTGAAACCGTTGGAAATGCTACTGCGTTCTGTGCTGTAATTTATTCCCATTGTACAATGTGGGTATAGTACTCATGTTATTGTCATCACGATCATCATCAATATTGGCAACCTCACTATATTTAAAGTTACTTCCGCGGTTCTTGAATTTCCTCCTCACTCAGCACGCCCTTAACACCTGTGCCTGAAAAAGGTCCCATGGATGGCAAATAGCAGTTTGAATCACCATTCCAATATAATTCTCTCTCTTTTTCATTTGGGAGGCAATTTCTTATTCATATCTTCGATACCGCACCTTTCCTTATAACATGCACAGTAAAAAGAATAAAACACTCCAATAGGAGCAGAGCATAATATTCACCGTCTCACTTCAGCCTATCACCCGACACGGCACCAGTATAATGCAGGCGCAGTGCCGGTATTGGTGGCTCTGCTTCGAGTTGCTGGTTATTACTGTACGAGGCTGGAACCAGAAATGGTGAGCAGTGTAAGGGTTTTCCACCGAAAATAGCCATATTCATGACCTTCCAACCACTGATTTAGTCAAGAAACCCAAACTAAATCTTCATCTCTATGCAAAATGATTCCCTGGATTTTACTTTCCAACCTATTAGAACTCTCTATCTAAAGTAGTTGAGGAACTATCAAGAGAGCTATGGTCAGAACATTGGTCTTGGCGCAATTTTTGGCAATTTTGTATGGGAAATAGCAATGCTTGGCACTGTTTCCAGCCTCAACCCCAGAATATTGCATTCCAAAGTAGATAAAAATTCTTTAATAATCCATGAGCACTTGGGGAGATATTTGAAAGAATTTTGAACCATATCATTAATTTTTCAATTTTTTTACAACTCCAGAATGTATTAAATGGAATGTGTGAACTCGGATGGTTTGGGCTGTTACATGCCATTTTGCTCATCATTTTTGTCACCAGCCTCGTACCATTCCCCGGGGAAACCCCACCACAAAACGCCAAATGCCACCGACGAGAATCGCTTCAGAACACAAAGATGGACCACAATCACGGCACTCTCCCGGAACACAATCTATGTTACCATTTTTTCCCCACGACGATGAAAGAGAATAACAAGATAACAAGGATACACATCTAAAAACCCGTAACCAGTCGTGCCTGCAATTACTCTTCTGATTTCTGATAGCATAGACAAATTCCCCAAACAGAAAGTTGTCTATATAACTATCCACCACCACCACCACCACCACCAACAACAGATTTCCGTTCAGCACGAAATCAAATACATAGCGAGCGCAAGCCTTGCTCTTTACCAGAAAAAAGCGAGGACAGCAGGGCCAAGTGAATAATCGAAAGTACACAAGTAATAACGGTAAAAAAAATAAAAAATAAAAAAAGGGGGGGGGACAAAAACACCTTGAAATATACCGTACCGTACCCAGGCACTTATTTCCGAGAAAACTCAAAGACCAGAATGATAGCGCACAAACAGAATGAAGAAAAAAAGACCCCCCCAAACCTAAAAGAGCCCTAAACAAAGAGTAACAGGAAAAGAAAAAAAAGGTGGGGGGGAAACGAGAGGAGGAGGCAAGCCAAAAAGGGAGAGCCATGTTTTCGAACCCTTTTCTTCTTCTTGGGTTGACCGGTCGATCAAATGGTGCCTTTAAAGACGTTCCATCAAGCGCTCGATGCCCCCAGCACGGGAGGTGAGCAGACGGCGTATTCTGAGGGCCTCTTCGCGATCCTGAGGAGGATCCCACATCACCTCGCCGGCGAGAGGGTTACCATCTGCATCCGAATCGGATTCCCACAAGTCGCATGCCGCTTGAAATCCCAGGCCATTAGCGACCAACTCCCAGTGGGCGGGGTCAGGGCTGTTATCATCCAAGCCAATTAGTCCGACAGCATCATAGAATGACGTTTGCGGGGGAATAGACCTTAAACTACGCTCTCTGTCCCCCAACCCATCAACCTCCAGCCAGCGCCTAGCGGAAGGGCCCGGAAGGTAGGAGAATTCATCACGCCTTCCATTCTCTGCTTCATCGATAAAGGATTCATAACGGGAAAAGTATTGGGGTGGGCGCTGAAGGCCTTCCCCAGCGCCAGGGCGGCGCGAAGCCGCACTGCTATTACTGCTACTACTACCCTCGGAGGAGGAGGAAGAGGTGGCGGCCGCGGGAATGGAGAAAGGAGTGCGAATCCGACGTAGCTCCTCCTCCTGTTGCCTCTCCGGGAAGGCCGGGGGGAAGCGTGGGGTGTAAGTATCGGAGGCAGATGAAGGCAACCGGCTGTTCTCACTCCTGAATACCGGTAGAGGCGAGCGAACTCTTCTTGTGCCCCCTCTGCCCGAAGTTGCATTAGAGGATGCTCTAGCCTCCGCATCGGCCAGTGTCACGCGTAATCCAGCGCGCTCTGGGTCAGGCACGGGACCTGGGAGTGCGCTCAACTCGCTCCATGGATAAGGGCGCTCACGTCTGCCCTCGCCTCCCGCAATACTGGAATGGGTGTTTGTCTCCCGCGCAAAGTCATCCCGCCACAAGTTCATCAATGTTTGGGAAGATCTGATTCGACGACTGGGCGCCGAACGGCGAGGAACGGCCGCACGACGAGGATCAAGCACGGCATCGATATCCCTCTTCTCAACAGGTTCCTTCCACACTGGCATGCCCATGATTATTTATTTTTCGTGTTTTGGTTGGTTGGTTGGTGGGTGGGTGGGGGGGGGAGAGTTTCTTCTTGCTTCTTTTCGTTGGATGTGGTAAGGCACGATAGGTAGAGGCAGGGGGTTACGGTAAGGGAAGGAGGCGGTTAGGACAAGAGACAGAAAGCGATGTAGGGTGAGCGATGGTTTCGCTGGGAGCAAGCGCTGGAGCGGAAGCCCGAGCGGAAGCGATTCCAGAAAGTAAAGAAAAAAGAGGAAAGAGATGAAGGCGAGCGAGCGAGGAAGGAGGCGGGGGGAAGTGGAGAGGCGCCGAAGGGATGGGATGGGTCGATAGATTTTGGTGGAATGGGATGGGGGGGGGGAGGTGCTAGGTTGCTCTCGTTGAGAGGGAAGAGAAATGCAGCCGCGCTCGGAACGTTTCCCAGTCTTTTTCAGAAGGTGATTGTGATGCTGATTAACCTGAAGTACAGAATTGAGTAGACGAGGCGCCGATACAAAGGGGAAAAGAAAAGAAGAAGAAAAATCGAATCAACCGAACCCGTATTAAGGCTTCAAAAGAAGGCCCAAGATCAAGAGACGCGCTCTACCATCCAGGGCGTTCCCATTCCTTTTTCTCTTTTTTTTTCCCCCCCCCGTTGGCGACAAGATGATGCGGTGCTCTTTGTATAAATATCATAGTGCCAGTAGACTACGAGTATCCGATACGAGTACCATGGCCTCTATCATACAGTGGCATCATGGAGCAACCACATCGACCTCATACACACACATAGGTACAGACATACGGCACCTGCAATTAGGGTAGGTAATAAAGCGCGGTTATTAACAGAATGGCCTATCAAACTCCATTCCCACGAACAAAGACTCAACTCGCTTTCCTTGGAGCTTCCTGCCCGAGCCCGCCATCACGACACCGCTACCGTATCTGTACCGCACCTGACTAACCTACAACCGCATTCTACCAGTAGCAGAGAAGGTCCTGACAATGGCTCAGGACTCCTGCATCATACGGTTCATACCGGCAATCTCCCGACAAGATGATGTCGACCACTTCAGAGCCCCCGAAGCTTGATAGACCACCGCATCATACCAGTACTATACGATCGTACAGTGAGCGATTGGCAAAGCGCAGGTATTATATAACATGTAAACACCCATCCAGGATGGGAAGCCCCACCCCAAAGGCCCGATGCCCCAGCATACTCGAGCACAGCACGGGTAAACCGAGGCACTCTGGGGGAAAGGGAAACGCCGACAACACCATCGACATTCATTATATGAGTATCATAATTATCACACTTGGAGCACGAGAGCCCCATCCACAGCACCACTACTCGTAGGCTACCGGTACCCGTACCGACAACTCAAAACCCGCGCAAGGAAAGCCAAGACCTGGGGGTGCGTTGCCGGTTCCAGTATGATACAGTACGAGTACGGTAATCGTGCCAAGGTTCCCGCCAGTAATGCCTTAAGTTGGTTACCATGATTGGGATACATATGACTTGTACGAGTAGTTCGTTTGATAGCTACGAATATTATGATATTAATTCGAAGGACGCTATGCGACCTTCAAGGTTTGACGGCACTCCTAGGGCGTGCTGGACAACTCAACGAAACTATTTTACATGAGCCGAAACCACCACCACAGAATGCCCAATATTTCATAGCAAAAGTTTTTGATGCTTTTGTCTTTTACCCTGATCCTTCACAGCCTTTTGCATTTGTTTTGAAATTTCCTTCTATTGCTTCCAAACCTTAGTTTCAGTAGCTTTTATAATCAAATCAAGCAAGCCCTAGGCTATTTAGAGCTACTTTTTAATGCTGTCCTGCTTCTTTTAACACACCATTGATCTGGCTTTATACATGTACAGAACACCATTCTTTTAAAAGAAATTATAGGCTGCACTTCTGTTGTATCACTTGTATTAGTTCAGTAGCCTTTAACTTTGCAAGGTCTTCTAGTACTTGGACACTGGTTTGTACTTAGTCAAGGTGGTCTTCTATAAACTTCTGAAGACTCTTCATAGCTGTAAGGGATATTTCATCAAGCTGAAAGTGAAGGGCATCTGCATTTCTTATTAGTATCAAATAGTTAAAGGTATAGTAGTTAAAATAAGCTAGATAGATGGTAGAAGTATTTCCAAGTCTCTTGAGTCCATAAGCTCATATTTGATAAGCTTTTCAAGAAATATTTTAGAATTAAATAGAATAAGCTCTATCTTTTTAAAGTCTGCTAGAATAGTTGTAGGCTCAAAGGTAAAAGTATAAATATATTAATATAACAGGCAGGGTCTGAGGGTCAGGTCGCCCAAGGCATACCACGATTGGAGTAGGCAGGAGTTTGGAGATAAGGTTAGGGTACAGGCATACAACCGAGTTAAGTTGTATGAGGTTCAGGGTTCAGGGATTCAGGGTCAGGGTTCACGGGTTCAAGAGGACGTGAAGTATAAAAAAGGTGTAATTCCTAGGTACAGGTATCCAAAGAAGATTACCAGATTGCATAAAGAAAGTAAAATATAAGGAGGCACATACCCTTATATATAAAGAAAATCCTCCTTGATCACTAATACAAAAGAAAGCTCTTGGTGTCACATGCAGCTATGATCCTTCCATCTGGTTCCCTCAAATTCCATTACACAGTAACATACTCCAATTATGATATAAAGGAAATCCTACTATGCAATCCAGAAAACCACACCTGATATATGCAACTAAAATCCCAATGCCTGTTCCTCCTCCATGGCCAGGTGGCTGCGACAATTAAATTACATTTAAGAATTCAATTTCATCAATATCTTAGTAACTATTTTATATAAATCATATTTATCTAATAGAAGAAGTTGTATACATACTTGAAAGTGAGAAGAGTATTTTTTAAAATACTAAAACAAATCCATTACTTACAAATTATTTAAGTACTAGACTCCTAAGATCTCAATTAAGAAATTTTTGGGAATAACTATTTAGAGATACTAGTTGATTATAAAAAGCATATTAGAAATAAAACTTATTGAATAGAATATAGTACTATCACTACTTATAATTTCAATAACTATAACTCATGATTGCTTAAACTTGCTATATACATTAGATGTATTGGCTTGATCATAACTACCTATTTATAACAATCTCTACCTATAATAGAGACTTGAATAACAAGTAATAACTTTTCTTATATAACTTAGTAGTGCTTAACCTGATACCTATGTCATATTTAATAGCCAAGTTCTTGACTCCTATCATACAATACCTGCTGAGTAATCTCAAGGCAGATAGTTTTCTAAGAACAATAAATGTTTAAGAAAGTGTAATGAGTTTTCTTAAATAAAGTAACAAAACTAATAAGTGAGAAAATAACCTGATAGTAGTATGAAGAAGTTCTCCTCTTAGGTCCTATTGCCCCCTTATATAGTTACTCTTTATACAACTCCAATCTTCATCACTCATACCTATAAGTCTTGTATAATATATGACTTCAAGTTATCACTGTGAGTTATGTAAAATCCTTCAGCTGACTCCTATAAGTCACTGTGCAACATTTCTTAAACCAATTAAAACCAAATAATAAGGTTAGGTACACAATTTACATCACCTAAATCAAATCTATGACTTATAAGTTTAGTCGGATGTGAAAATCATTTCATATAACTCACAATTATGAGTTACTAAACAATTAGAATGTATCTAATTACCACCTCAAACCTTCATTTTGACTCTGGTTATAAAAGTTTGTCACAAAATACTATTTTGCTTTTAAGTAGCATGTCTTATATACACCAAAACACAATACTAGTATTCAAAATGTAATAATGATGTCAAAATAAAGGTTTCTGAAATACTGGTCAGACCAGTATTTTACAAACTCAGACTCTCATTTTGGAGTAGCATGTATTGGCTACAATAACTCACTTCCACTACCAATAGTGAAGTAAAAAAAATAAGTATTAAAAAGCAGGTACCAATGTGTTTTGCACATCAATTACTCTGATTTTTTTGAGTCACCTTTTTGGAATTGATTTTTCAGGCAACCAGGCACACCTCTAGGAGTGTGAAAACCCTCAATTATATAACAACTTGCGATTATTTCAGTTGCAGCCTGCAAATCAGGTTTTGTGATTATCAAGGTTTGGAAAACTCAGGATGACCAGACATGCCCTTAACCAACTATAATATAATAATAATGTCACAACCATGAGTCATATAATAGGTTATGTTGCTGTGGGAGCGGTGACGGTGATTTTGTTCCCCGGGTATGATACCGGTACGGGCTCCAGACACAATGCCTGCTGGTTAGGGTATCGTATAATACCGGTGCCAGTGGAATGTATCAACTTATTGTCATCGCTCGCATGGGTCCTCAAACCTTGGACGGTATTTGGCGGAAATCTTGCCACGAGCACTGATCGGTCCAAATTCCCATCCCCATTTGAAGCCACTGTTAGCCTACCCATCAGCCATCCGGCCATCCAGAGTCTTCCTGGCAACCCTTGCTTGCCAATTTGTGCATCTCCCAACCACAAGTATCATGCAGCTCATATCATATTATACACTGCGGATACTCAAAACTTTCTTGACGAGAGGCCCGGTTTCCTCGAGGGAAAAGGGAAGCCGCCCCGGACCCATCTAAACTCTACCCAAGGTTTGAGGATCCCTATTTTCGCAGACCCGTTGATCTGTAATTACCGTACTAGTATTGTGCAAAGAAGCAGGAAGGGAGGGAGGGAGAGACAACCTATAGTAAGCCCGCTCCCACAATGAGTAACCCACAAGAATAAAGTCACCACGCCGCCGCAGTATCATACCATACTCGCACACCGCACCCGGCCTTCATCCTAATGTTATGAATAGCCAGACAGTTGTTCTGAGGAACCATTCCTATCCATCGTGGGGTTGACTGAACCAGTCAACCGTCATACCGGTACTTCCCTTTCCCGGCACCGCATTGGGGGGGGTGTACAGTACTATTACTTGCGCAAGTGCCCTTGTTCTATATTTCCTTGTGGACTAAGATTGGAAATACCGTTGCGGTATACGGTAGTACCGTAGGTACGGTAACACGGTCCCGTGGAGACAGAACCCTGAGCGGACTCGATTGACTCGGTTGACTTTGAGCCGCGCAGCCAATGGGCCTGCTTGAGCTTTAACCGAATGAAACAGGCTTTGATACTAGCATCCGTATTACCTGATACTTGTAAGTTACTTCTGGGTAATAGTAGTCCATCACAACTCCTCACTCTGAATCCCTCTCCCCCCCCAAAGAAAAAACCACCGCCAGCGTCGGCCAACAACAGACGCAAGTCCCTTCCCCGTCAGAGCCTCGCCACCACACCAAGCGCCCCACTTCCCCCACCCTCTCTAAAATCCCTGCACCACCCCCGCTACCCCAAATAGCATCTGGAAATGGACGACCTCCCAAACCTCACCCTCTCCGATGACGACGAATCCTCCTCCGCTAGATCCGCCCGCCAGGCGAAATTGCACCAAAACGAATCTTCATTTCAGGCGCAAAAGTTCTCCTGGAAACCCATTTGCCAGACCAAACAAGTACTCCCCGCTCTCCCAATTACTACGGATGGATGAGCGGGTGATAGACTAACAGGGGAGGAGGTGGTACAAGGCTGCGCGGAGGCTGGATTACCGAGTCGATGCACCGGCTCCCGAGAGTAAAGAGCTAGCGTTGGAGATTAAAGCCGCGGCGGAGGAGAGGTATTATGCTAGGGGGTACGAGACTGCGCTGGGGCTTGCCGAGAGGGGCTTGAAGGCTGCGGAGGGGGTGCTGCATGCCGGTGAGAGGAGGGAGTTGGAGGGGCTTAAGGGGAGGTGTGTTCGGCGGCTGGCCGAGTAGTGGTATCGTACCGTGGACAGTGGCACCGGCGTCTCCTTTTTCGTGGGATGCGATAGCTTGTTCGCGCCATACTGTACGGCGCAGTACGTGTGTGGTGTGGTTTGTCTGGGTGTGTTCTAAGGGCGCTGTCTAATAGTCTAGTGTTACGGTACTTTTGTAGATGGGAGAATACATGTACAGGAGAGTATGAAAATGCAGGGGAGTGAAGAAAGCACGAAAGAGCCGGACACTGGTCTATAATAACAAGTAGAGTACATAGCCCAAGTACAACACAATCCAAGAATAAATAAATCTAGAAATCTAGGGGTAGGGGGAAAAGGTGGGAATAAAAAAATCTACAATTTTAATCACCTCCATCCTGCCGTGTCGTCTCTTCTGGCTTCTCAATGGACCTTATCCCGCCAAGCAACTCCTGGGAGTTTAGGTACGTCGTCAGCCTATCGATCGTGGCCCGGTCCGGCTGCAAATACATCTGTGACATCCGCGCAATGATCTGGCCCATCTTGTAGAGATTAATCCTGGTCAAATACCCATTCAGCAGAGTGGTCCAAGTGACCGCGTTCGGCCACACCCCCTTTGATCTCATCAGGTCAATGACCCGCTCTGCCTCTGCCATATCGCCCCGCTTCACCAGGATCTGTAGTAGTATCGACCACGAGACTACCCCCGGTTTGATCGGAGATTGCACTTGCAGCATCTCCTCCATCACGGAGGCAGCATAGTGCAGCCCCCCTTGATGGGCTCCGAACGCCATCATGAAGGAATTCGGTATGAAGCTGTCAGCTTTAATGATCACCTCTCTATAAGGGTTGGTAGTCTCTCTCAGCACTCTCTGGTACTCACGGTACATCTTCCATGCTACCCGCAAGCCCCTATCCTCCCGGCAGAAGGCATACATCATGATGGCTATTGTGTAGTGATTTGGCTCCAGTTTTTCCAGCATCGGGTACCTCGTCGCCGGAGTAAGGCCGAGCGCCGCCAATGCACCCGGCCTAAACAACCTGGTGAACTGGATGTAGACCTCCGCGTAGGAAGAGTTGGCAAGAACTTTGGCGTGCAGGATGTCAGAGGCCAATATCACGCTCAGTCTCTTATCCAACATCAGTGCGTCACGAATGACCATGATCTGCTCCTCCCGTTTCCCGACTTGCTTGTAATGCTTGTGCAGTATCCCATATGTGACCATGGAAGGACTGAGACCGGCCTGGAGCATCTCCTGAAACGCTTCCTTCATCGTATCCTCATTGCCCTCGCGGACAGCCTTGCTCATTAAGATATTGTACGTCTCGGTGGCGGGGGTGATATTACATGCTAGCATCTTCTGGATGACTCCGTTGGACTCTTCTTGTCCTATATACGTTGCCTGGTAGAACATTTTTTGGAAAACATACCAGGCCTTTGCTGCCATCAGATCCAATCCTTTGCCGGGATCAAAGGTTCTCAGAATCGAGAAGGCCTCATCCCAAGTTTGGAGATCCGATAGGCGACTGACAAAGTGCAGAGTCGTGTATCTTCCTACTTGGTGCTCCGATTTCCGCAGTTCACCATAGAGTCCCACAAGTACATCGAGGGAGGCATTGAGGACAAGCTTGTGCAGGGACGATTGCGCAATACAAGACCGGCCTTTGAAATTGCTCCCGCAGATTATGCAGCGCAGCATGGCAATAAGCTTGTCTGCCCTCCTCCGGCGCTCATGCCGGGATACCTTTATGCCCTCCTCCGCCCCCCTTGTAGGAATTTTGGCCGCAACAAGGGCATTGAAGTAATCACAAATCTTGAGCAGATCCCCGGGCCGACGAGTCTCCGTGCAATACCACTGCATAAGTCTATTCAGCATGTTCCAGTACGAGTGCTCTTCGAGGAAGGCCCCAATGCTAGTGACAAAACTGAGTTTATCACCCTCCGGCAGCTTTCCCCACACCCTCTCTATCGCCTCTACACCCCTCCCTTCGACGGCAACAAGTCTCAGGAACTTCTGCGGTTGCCCCTGGCTGTGGTTGTGCAAGAGACGGGATACAGAAGACATTAGACGCCATCGAAGGCTCAGATCCGCTTGCCCGCCGCTCCAGGACTTTGATCCCTTCAGTTTCTCCGTCTCCGAGCTATTCCGCCTAAATAGCCCAATGCCAAATCCCCGTAGGCCCGGTCCAGTATCGATCCGTGGCCGATGCTGTTTCCGTATATTTGCCCTCAAAAAACAATTCGCTCGGCCGGGCGAGGGAACGAAGGTGGCGGATTCTAGAAGCCATGAGTTAGCAAGTGTAATCCTTGATCAACCTGAACTGAGCGTTGGAGATAATTGTTGAGGATCTTGCTCACCTCGAGATGAGAAATGTCGTCCGGAAATACCAGTGGTGGCCAGGTCGATTGGCACAGCCGGTGCAAGGAATGAAAGAGTTTGTATGGGCTTTCTGTTGGGCGAAGAAATGCGGTAAAGGAAACACTGCGACATTTGAGGGTGGCCTCGTTAAGGAACCACCGGGGTGCAAATGATAGATTTTTGGACCGAGATGCCGAGGCCCTTTCTTTTCCCCCCTCTCTCCAGGCTTTGAATGTGGAGTGCCAAGAGCCTGCAGGCAGTCGTACTGATAGCCGGACCCTTCTACCTTGCCCCAGTCGACTGACTCAGGAAGCTAGTGTAGCAGAATGTTGTTTCCCTGTGAATACTCGAGTGAAAATTGTTAGCGATGGTTTAGAACAAAGAGCTAGCTACGATACTCAAAAAGCAAACATCACCACCCGCCCCCCCTCTATCCCGGAGACCAAGCGTGGTTAAACAACGATGGAAGGCGGTAACTTTAAGACGTACCAGCGTGCAGTAATACAGATCGATTGCCCCTGACCGCCTCATCCGACAATCCAGCGGCATGGACTTTGAGGCTGTGATATCCGTGCTTCAATCGGACCTGCTGGTGGATATGCTCGCATCATACCGTCACAATTGCAACGCCTTACGGTGAGTATTGCAGTCTGCCCGCGATACTACGACTACCAAGATACCCGGTACCGGTACCGTACTGTACTATGGTATGATCTTCCAGAAGCAAAGACACCCGTGCCCCACCTCTCACGCACTGCAGCATGATAACGACCCCGGCTTAAAGTTACCCGGCTTCCGACCGCCCTACCCATCAACCCATGTCGGGAAGACGCGACTGAAACTCAGCACCTCGAATCGCGTATCCAGAGTTCCGATACGTTTGCCTTACAAATTCATACTACACCCAACAGCTCCTAACGGAGGGAAGGAAAGGAAGGAAAGAAAAAAGGAAAAGAGAGAAAACCTTTATCACCTTCTTACAATTCGGAGACGAGAAAAAAGCGAAATAATTCGGCCCTTCCCTATTTTCTACCATCGTCATGTCATCAATAACTTCCCTAGACGCCCAGTCCGCCGCCCGCAAGGAACGCCTCGCCCAGCTGAAGTCTCTAAAGCGTAAACAACCCCTGATAGACCCCTCGCCGCCACAAGAAGTCTCGATGACAACGGACGATCCGGAAAACCCGGAAAAGGATACGAATGTTCACCTCTCGGGCCGGAATTATGACATCGAGTCACGGGCACCGAAAATGGGGTTTGTGTCGGCGCCCAATGAAGGACAGGAGACCCTGGAGGGTGCAGCAATGAAGATAGTCGAGACTACGAAGGCTTTGCAAATGGAGGACGAAAAGAACGACAAGCCAATCGATCTATTCAATCTCCAGCCGAAGAAACCGAATTGGGACTTGAAGAGGGACGTGGATAAAAAGCTGGAGAAGTTGAACCAGAAGACGGACATTGCGATTGCGAAGATTATTCGAGCTCGGATAGAGGAAGCGCGGCAGAAGAGAATTGGCCAGAGCAGGGGGGGGGATGAGACGGAGGATGTTGAAGGAAATGTAGCTTCTATTGTACAACAAAGAGAAAAGGAAAGGGAGGGAGAAACCAATACCGAGGATGCCGACAGTGATGAGGGGGACGCTCCATGATACGATGCGGAGGAAAGGCTTTCTTTTTTACTAGCTCATAGCATCTGTATAGCTAATGCGAATCCCTTGTTTGAAGGGGATACCACAGATTAATAATTTACAATGCCACTCAACAGGATACCAGCGATAAAATAGGGCCTCTATCCAAGCTACTGTAGAGTTGCTGCCGCCTCCTTCGCTTTTGCCTCTTCAAGAATCCCTCTTGTTTCCTCTTTTGCAAAAAAAAAAAAAAAAAAACGTAAGTGTGAGAATAGAGAAGTAGGTAGGTAAGTAAGGAAAAAAAAAAA